TAAGCTCACTCCAGACCAGTACTCCTGGGCTCAAATGATCTTCCTCAACCTCCAGAGTAGCTGGGACCACAGGCTGTGCCACCACACTCAGCTCCACTATTCTATTTCCATGTGAGAAATGGGTGCTGAGAAATTGTATGATCGAGGAAATTCCTAATTATCTTCTCAATGTGTCACCTGTTGGTAGTCACTTTCTGTTTTCTCAAGTTTCACCTCTGAGTTGCATGACCTCTGGCAATAATGCCTTTTGGTAACCAGAAGACTTTTTTATTTCAAAAATGTCTAGACATTATAATGCTTTATTTTGCACTCCAAACATACTGGCAACAAATACTAACTTTAAGTATTGCCCACAGTCCTGGATAGTTTTATTTAAAGCATCCCAGATATGGATTTGAATAGCCCTTGGTAAAGGTGAATTTGGTTAAACATTGAGCCTGCTCCTGAATTCACTTGGGCATTCTGGAAGTCTTCAGCCCAGATCCAAAGGCTATCATTTAGCAAGCCACTACAAGAGTTATAGCTTCTGAAGACATAATTTAAACAAGGATTAGTTTGGGCACTGGAAGAGTCAAGCGCTTTGGAGTTTCGAATCTGACAAGCAGCAGCTAAGCTACTGAAAGATGAGAGCCTTGTAGGCATTTATCTGATGGTTTTTAAAACAGGCAGCCAGATTAACTACCATCATCATTTGAAATCTTTAAGAAAGCAAGGCCTTCTGAAAACATTGCTTTTGGTTTCTCTACCTCCAAGTTGTCAGTACTGAAAAGGAAACTTCAAAAAAAAATGAAAGGCAGTTTCATTTAACGGCATTGTGTTTAACAGGCCAGGCTGCTTTTACACACAGCGAGCTGCCTTCACCAGGATGAAAGCTGTCTCTTGGTAAGATTAACATTAAAACTGAAGGAGAAGCTTCAGGGTGGAGTACGAATGCCTCCACGTATGCCTTCACATAGCAATCTAAATAAGACGGCTTTGGGCTTCAGAGACGTTCCAATGTTCTAATAACCTAATTCACCGTGTTTCGGTTTTATCACCATGAATTAAGGGTGCAAAGGAAAGAGGTCCAGGGCTTTCAGCCGTACTGTGGAATGCTAAGTCTGTCCACGGCTAGCTTGCCCCACCAGGACTGGATGCTGGCTCACTCCTTCCTCCTGCCCTCCCTAACCTCTCCCAGGCCCCTGGGGTGCTAATCTTGATCATCAGGAAGATCCAGCCAAGTCACAGAGTTACCTGAGAAAACGGTTCCTGTGTATTCTAATTTTTGGCAATTGTGACGAATGGCAAAGTTGTTACAGTCCTAACTTCTCAATTCCTGTGCTTGCTAGTGCCTCAGGCAAATGTGATCAATATGCATTCAGATACTTTTATTGATCAGATATGGCTACTGCTGGCCTGTGAAGAAAGGAAAAGCAGGGCCTTGCAAAATTTTTCTCACCACTGTTCACTCAGAAGAAAGGCAACAGATCTAGAAGATGAGAAAAACACAAAAACCTTTACTGCAACAATAAAACCAAAAAGAAACACACAAAAGGCACTCAGCAAACTCTCCTTCTCACTGTTATTTCAACATTAGCTGCCTGCCAATTTCCTGAGATTCTGAAATGTAAATAAATAGATAGATAGAGTTAGTCTGGGCCTCTTTTTCATGAAATGCTTAATCACTTAGCTCATTTCCATAAATTGCCATGAATTCAGTCTCAACTTCTTTCTTTTTTTTCCTTAACCACTTTTTAGGATAGCAATCTAAAGTTCCTAAAAGTGATCGACTTGATGTTTTCTCATGAGACCCAGGACAAATAAACAGGCCCCAAAATACATTTCCGTGGTTTAAAATCTGGAACCCATACCTCTACCTTTTCTTATTTTAAAATAATTGTCACAAGGGTAGAGCTTGCTTGCTATATTTTCTAATTACTAACAATCCATCATTTTACTCTAATCCACTTACAGGCTTTCTATTTTATTGCTACATTAATGCTTTCCACTTTATATTATGTCTTATTATGGTAAGACTTTGAAGATATAGTGAATTTAGGAGCCATCTGTCTTTAAGAATGCACCATAATAAGAAAAGATAGGCCCCAGTGTTGCCCACCACCATGGACAACTACAAATAATTTTACAGCATTTGCAAAGTGTGCCTGTCTTTCTTCAAGGTCTGTTTCTCCATTGTTTGGGACAAATGTGACTTCTACTTGAAAGTCAAATTTTAAATTGTTTATGGTGTATTTTGTTAAGTGAACTAAATTAAATTTCACATTTGTCAATTATATTTCTCCTCTGTAACCACTGACAAGAAACTTTAAGAAGTGTTTTTAAACCTTTTAAACAACTCAGATTTTTTTAATGTACTGTTTTATATTAGATATTTCACTAAACTGACTGAAACTGTCATTCCCGAATATTTAGATAATATGGTTATTTGGAGAATTACTAAGTTTAGTAAAATAAATTCAAATATATGAGAACTGAGAAGAGAAAAATAAACTGCTTTAATTTCTAAAAGTGTCCATACTAATTAGGATATATGGGCTCAAGTCTCTAATAAAGGCCCAGCCAAAAGAAACTGGAAGCACTTAAAATCATGGCTTTCCTCTAGGCATAAGAGAGAAAGAGGGGAAGAGATGCACATTTTAAACGAGGTTTCCATTAAATGATTAATTTTTCTTGTTCACGTGTCTGTCTCTCCCAGCTTCCGCAGGCCCTCTCCATTTCCAAGGCATCATCAAGAGCTATTTTCTCACCATGAGATGACGACCAAACTCTCACAGCAAAATTGAAAAAGCCTTTAAAAGGAAAAAAAAAAGTGAAAGGCACATTCTTGAGCACTTTCAATCACTGTAATTCTGCCCCAATGGGAGCCGGTCACTCCACACAAGCTTCCAGCCTGCAGCTCTCTTCCCCAGGGCTCTGGGGAAAAAAAAAAAAAACAATTTGTTGGCCTAACGAACAATATCAGACAGTAAATTCACGTTGGTGAAAAAATACTGGGGAGAACAATTTGGAGGGGGAGGGTGGAATTGATATCACTTTGCCCACTCTAAGCAAAGCATTATAAAACAAGCAACCAAATGTTCAGGGAAGAAAAAAAGTATTTCTCAGGCAAACAAATACCTACAGCAGCAAATGTAGGGGGCAGATTCCCTGGGCAACAGGAACCAGCAAAACTTGCAAGGCTCCGGTACCATCAGACCCGGGGATTTCCCAAGAAATAATTTCAGAATGGAGGGAGAGTGAAAACTTTCCCAGCCCCCGAATCCTGAGATACACAACCGTGTCCCACCACTAGGTGGCCAGCTGCAAAGGCTGCAAGAGGGGCGGGGGAGGTGGAGGGTTGTTTTCTCTGCTTCCTCCCTTTCAGGACCATTCCCCAACCCAGGGAAGAGCCTACCAGCACCCACCTTGATCGTGTCCACTAAAAATGTCAGGTTAGGAAAAAAGAAAAAAAAAAACAAAAAACCACACACACACACACACAGAGCTCAGGCCTTAGACCTGAAGTCACCAAGTAACAAGCCTCTGCTAAAAATTTATTCCCACCAAAGCTAAGCAGTGGGAGAGAGATTAACCTGTATATTTTAAACTCTGCTGGGGTTTTCAAAGCACTGCCTCCCTTCCGGGCTTCTGAAATAAACCTTCTTGCCCACTGGCTGCTTTTGAGTGACAAGTGACGACGAAAGTAAGACACAAGACACGAATGCTGGGCTGAGTTGCTGAAACGCTGCCCACGGAAGGCTATGCATCACCTACCCCCACAGTGTGTAGGGAGCCACAAGGTGATGGAACCGGCTGAATAAACACGAATCGTTTTATTGCTGGCCAGAAAGTCTTCCCTTCATTCATCAAAGCGGGTGAATGAAAATATTAAGTAGGTAAAACATTTTCATGGACTGCTCACCAAGTATCCTTCTAAAGTCAAGCCCTTCCTCAGTCTGCCTCCTACCTTTAGTATCAAATAAAGCCTTCTCCCGTGAAAGACAAAAACCTCTTCCCCTTTTATGAAAAAGGTCGCACACTAGAGCCCAAATCTTGACCAGAAAAAAGACAAAGATGTTACATAAATTCCAGGTATTCCTAAATATATCTGTTTACATGTACACAACACAATCATTTTAGGAAGTATCTAAGTTTCGGCCTCCCCTCCACCCCCCGCCTTTTTTTTTTGTTTTTCATCTCAAGGCAGAGTCAAAATATGTGTTCTCAGGGTTTGACTCAGGATCTTACACACTCCATTTAGACAATATTTCCTGCCAGCTAAATGCAGGAAATCTAATGATTTGCATAGAAAACATATCTAAAGCACCAGCACACTTACCTTTCTTTTCTTAACTGAGCCAAAATCTAACAATTTCAGTTATCACACTCCCAGAAAAGAGAAACCCGAAATACTGAATTATTTTCTAGGTGATCTGTATAGCCATCCTTTGATTATTCTATGAAAAGGCTAATTCCTCAACATCTGACTTTGCCTTTAAAAGGCTTCCTTCCACACGACGGGATTTCCCTAAGAAACATCCCAGCGGATGGTTTCCAGCAATAGTCTATATCAACTCAGCCTGCGCAGGCAAAGACTTGGCTTCTGCTCATTCCACCCCCGCCCCCCCGAACACACACACCAGTTCACACAGAACCATCCCGGGCCGACTTGAAACGCTATTTTATGTGCATGTTTGCTCGTCGCTCCCCGAATGAATGCTCTTCCAACTGACCTTTCAACAGCTGCCGAGATGGCACGCTCTGCAGGGCGAGCGCTGGAAACTAGGAGATATGTTAGCATCCAAATCCCTGCAACCTTCTCAGCCCAAGTCCAGATTCTCTGAGCCCCAAGGCAAGAACCCTGAAGGGTCTGCAGAGCCGCTCTCCGAAGTGTCCTGCTCGCGACCCACTCGCCGGCAGCGGGCATCCTGCACGGGCGCAGCCCCAGCCCGCACGCCGCCCGACACCCGCACCCCGGCCCGCGACGGACGCGCCGGGCACGTACCGGCCCTGCCTCTTACCTTCCCTGGCTTTCAGCAAGACCGTGTTGGCCACGATGTTTTCCAGCTCCATTGACAGTCGGCGGTCAGCAAGGGAGCCGGCCGGCGGGGCTGTCAGCGCCTGGGGTGCTGCCGCTGCTGCTGCCGCTGCTCGGGCTGCCGCCGCTGCTGCCGGAGCCGGGGGAGCCAGCAGTCCGCCTTGCCTACCGCATTATTCCTGCTCTCAGCCCAAGAGTTTCCCCCTCTGCAAAGAGGAGCAGCCGCCGCCGCCGCTTCTTCCTCCCTCTGTGTCCCCCCCCCCCCCCCCTCAACACGCTCCCCCCCACCCCCCACCCTCCGCGTGTCTCTGTCACTCCATTCTCCTCCCCTCCGGCTCCCTCGGATGCTTTAATGCCTCGGATGCTTCTGCCTCCCCTCCGTCCCTCCCGGGGGTGTGGTACTAGCAGGCTCGGGCGGCCGCACTGCGCAAGCGCCGGCCCAGGCGCGCCTCCTGCCTCGGCGCTCGCGGCGCAGGGCCTGCTGGGAGCTGGAGTCCTCCCGGCCGCGCGACGCCGGGACTGAGCTGGGCTGGCGCGCGGCTGCCGGAGCGGGGACCCGCCCCGGGACGGCACCGAAAGCGAAGGCGGGCACCGCCCGGCCGACTGGCGACTCAAAGGCGGCCCAGCCGAGCCGAAGTCCCCACCAACCCCTGCAGGCTCCCGCTTGCCCCCTTCCCGCCCCGCCGCCAGCCCGTAAAGCGAAGTGCTGAGGCCCCGGTGGTAGCGCGCGAAGCGCCGCGGCTCCGCATGAGCCAGTGCGGGTCCCGAGCCGTGCTTGGAGTGGGAGGGCCGCCAGCTCGGCCGCGCGCCACAGCCCGCTTCCTCCGGTCCACACCAGGCCCGCGAGGGGCTGAGTCCCGGGTCAGTGACGCGCGCCCAGGGTCCCCGCGCGCTGCGGCGGCCGGCCCGGCCTGGCCCCTGCCTAGCGTGTCCCACGCGGCGCCCCGGGCCGCGGACAAAGATGCACTTTGTTTCCTCCGAGGGCGCGAAGGACTCTGCGGGTCGGCGGCGACCCGGCGCTGGCTGCCCGCGCTGCCCTCGGCGCGACCCGAGCGCCCCCCGGCGGCCGCGGTGCGCAGGCGCGGGGTCTACGCGGACCGCGCCCGGGGTTCGGGGTCCACCGTGGGAAGCCGCTGGTTCTGTGAATAAACTGCTTTCCAGCACACCCGGCCAGCAAGTCCAGGAGCCTCCCTGCAGCCAAACCCAGCTAGATTAAGTAATAAAAACGCAGACAGAGTCGCCGGAGTCTCCGCCGTGGGGAGCGTTAATGAGTAACAGCCAGGCCAGCGCCGAGCCGGCGTGGGATGAACGTTTTTAAATTCCGGTCTTATTTATTTTGGGGCTCTTAGCTCCTTCCAGTATTATGCTCAGAACATCAGACTCCTGGTCTGTGATCAGCCCTGTTTTCTCGCTCCCTCCGCTCCGAAGGCCCCACTCCTGGAAATGGACTGTCTTCGGTCACCCGGGATCTGCCACGAGTGTCCTACGGCTGGGGGCGGGACAGGCAGGCAGGCCCCAAAGAACAATGAGGCCTTTGCCTCCTCTGCATCCTGCGGGCCGGATATCCGTTCAGAAGCAGACTCTGGGCCTTCTCTGTCCAGGAGGAGGAAACCCTCTGTCCCCAGGGCTGCCAGGAAGTCGCAGGGAGGTGCTGAGAGAAACAGAGAACAGTTATTATGTATTGGAGAATATAAAGAAATCAATAAACCTTCCAGGCCTTGGAAACTGGTCTGGTCACTGACTCTAACTACCCAAGATTATCTTCTTCCCTGGGGCAGTGTACCCACCATCACCCCTTTGTGGTGTCTAGACTTGGGTCAGTGAGTCTCCCTGGGCCTCATTTATCTTGTCTGCAAAATGGGGGCAATAACAGTTTACCTGTCAGAAGGTGGAGGGCTCATGGGGTAACTTTTCAGGCACCTACCACTCCAGGAATTACTGTTCTAAGCAATCCAGGCTTGGTCTCTGCTGCGTATTCACATACCTAGAGCCCTAACTTTTAATGAAAGGATCTCTCTCAGATAGCGAGACCCCTAAAGTTGGCAGCTCCTAGAGCCCTCCACCAACCACAGTGGTCACTTGCTGGCAGCATAGGGCCTGATGAAAACCGAAGTTTGTTTATTCAGCTAACATTAAAAAAAGAAAGAAAGAAAGAAAATGTTTGAATGCCTTTAGATGGCTTATGCACCATAACAATTTTCTCAGGCTGGGCGCGGTGGCTCACGCCTGGAATCCCAGCACTCTGGGAGGCCGAGGCGGGCAGATCATGAGGTCAGGAGATCGAGACCATCCTCGCTAACACGGTGAAACCCCGTCTCTACTGAAAATACAAAAAAAAAAATTAGCCCGGCGAGGTGGCGGCGCCTGTAGTCCCAGCTACTCGGGAGGCTGAGGCGGGAGAATGGTGTGAACCCGGTAGGCGGAGGTTGCAGTGAGCCGAGATCATGCCACTGCACTCCAGCCTGGACGACAGGGCGAGACTCCGTCCCCCCACCCAAAAAAAACCAAAAAACAATTTTCTCAAAGGTTGTTTTTGTTTGTTTTTTGTCTGTTTCTTTTTGAGACAGTTAGTCTGTCATCCAGGCTGGAGTACAGTGGCCCAATCTTGGCTCGCTGCAACCTCAGCCTCCCAGGTTCAAGCGATTCTTGTACTTCAGCCTCCCAAGTAGCTGGGATTACAGGTGTGTGCCACCATGACTGGCTAATTTTTGTATTTTGAGTAGAGACGGGGTTTCGCCATGATGGCCAGGCTGGTCTTGAACTCTGGACTCAAGTGATCCACCCGCCCTCTGCCTCCCAAAGTGCTGGGATTACAGGCATGAGCCACCGTGCCTGGCTCAAAGTTTCACAAGCATACAAATCACAAGGGATCTTGTTAAAATGCAGATTGCATTTGGATAGCTCTGGGGTGGTTTCTGAGATTTTGCTCTTTCTAACAAACTCCAGGGTTCTGTCGATCCTCCTGGTCAGTAGACCACCCTCTGAGTTGAAAAGCTCTCTAGTTTACCGTAACTCCCTGTTCTTATACCCAGCCCAAGTCACTAGTGATTTTATCTATCTGGCCTGTATAGACATTTAAGTTTTCCATCCTGGGAACCCCTGCCTCTTCCTCTCATTTTACAGATGTGAAATAGACCCAAAGTAAGTGAGTTGGCATGGTCACTCAGCAAGTTAGTGTTAGACTATTTTTTTCTCCACTACAAGCTGTTACATCCTGCCTACACAAATAAATGATTGTACATCAGGTTTTTGTGCCTCTAGAAGGAAATTCAGACATTCCAGTGCAGGAATGGAATAATAATGGCTAGCATTTACTCAACACCAACTGTGGGCCAGGCCCTTGTGGTCTTTTAAATGGATTATCTCCTTCAACACAATATCCAGATGAGGTAGGGAACACAGGCCTATTTTGCAGACAAAGCACCAGGTTAAGAAAGATTTTATAGATCTGAGGCCGCGTGGTGGCTCACACCTGTAATCCCAACACTTTGGGAGGCCGAGGCGGGCAGATCACCTGAGGTCAGGAGTTCGAGACCAGCCTAACTAACACGGTGAAACCCCATTTCTACCAAAAATACAAAAATTAGCCAGGTGTAGTGGCAGGTGCCTTGTAATCCCAGCTACTCGGGAGGCTGAGGCAGGAGAATTGCTTGAACCTGGGAGGCATAGGTTGCAGTGAGCCAAGATAGTGCCGTTGCACTCCAGCCTGGACAACAGAGCAAGACTTTTTTTTTTTTTTCCCTCAAAGAAAAAGAGAAAGGTTTTATAATTTGTCCAGGGTCACATAACTAATAAGTAGAAGACCCGGGATTTGAACCCGTCAGCCTGACTCAGAGTTGGTGCACTTAATTTCTGGCTTGCACAAGGTAGCCAGCACAGCTTGGTTGTAACTGTTCTGTGTG